CACCACAAGGTGGCGCTGTGACACAAATACTGACAATTCAATCACAGTTCGTGCCATTCTTTGCAATACTTGGCTTTAGTAGTGGGGTACACGAAATAAAAATTACCATGGAATATTTTGACTTTCACCAAATTTTAATATGATGTCATTCATATTACGTCAGTGGTAAGTATGTTCTGTATAAATTTGCTACATAACTTTCTCTGGAATTTTGAAAAAAAATGTATTTATACTGGGATCGGTTTCGTTTTATTGTTGATTTTTCCGAACAAGTGTGCACGGTGATAACTGCTGCACATGTTATACCATATCAGGATATTTCTATATCACAGTTTTACCACGTGACAAAAAGCTTGTATTTGACGCATTTTAACCATAAATAAATTAACATAAATTATACGATGAATTTTGTGGAGCGGCGTCTTCAGTCACGTGACACACCGAACTTGAGAATGTAATGGCCTCTACTGACAGTAAATATAATTTTATTACAATTTTACTAATCAGGGAATTTGTTTTAATATAATTCATCTCACATCAGTACGCGGGTAGACAATCCGTTAAGTTGTGCTGAGACCGTGTCTGGTGATGTGGCTGTATTGCGAGGTCAATTATTCAGCGGAAATATCGAGTAATTATTGCCATAAATAAGTGACCTTTGAATAAACTATTGTCAGACAGATACACATAATGGCGCGATGTGACATCTGGTGACACTAGTCACGTGACAATACCCGCCCCAGGAATAGTGGAAGCTTGGAACAGAACAAGTGGTCTTGCGAACATCTAACTTCAAATTGTATTTAGTGGAATATGAAAAAAAAAAAGTTTTAAATAATGTCTCATCTTGTAAACTCATAAAGCAGACAAATTATGCAATCGGAAACTTGATGACCAGTATTGATACGTAAATGAAAAACAAGAGACAGGAACAGCTGCTTACCCAGGCAGACAATAAATCCCAATACAATCTTTGATATTCGCAAATAACTGATGTCATGTCAGCAATCCATGACAAACAAGCAACTACTGAATTGTCGGAATATTCAATCTATCGAAATTCAATTTGAGATTTTTTCGCAATATCTGGAACGAAACTTTTTTTCCATAAAATTACAAACTCCAACAAATATGGAGAACTATACATATAATACATTTCTAATATAACTGCACTGAACTTTCACATGATATGCCTTGGTATGCAGTGCTGTCGGTCAGTTTGTCACGACAGCTGATCTCAAGCCGAGGTCAGCGACACGGTAATGTAAACACCCAGAGGCGGTTCGTGCGACATCTTATCGCGAGACCGGTGTCAGTTACACAGACGTACATGTCACGATAACGTTACAGTACATGTACATTTGTACCCCATTTGTAACAATTTAAATGAAATCTGATTTGAAAAAGAAAAAACGATACAAAGATTTCCAGATGAAAAAAATGATTGATACAATAAGCAAACTGCATTAAATAAGCTTCTGTGACCTACGTAACGACTGTGTATAGTTTGTGGCTGTTAGCGTCGATCCAAGTGGACTGGTACCTACGTAGTACAAGACTGTTAGTACCTGGAAAAGGGCTCAAAACTAAAAGTTTGTTTCAAATTATACGAAATATTGAACATATTGTTTTAAAAATTAGGAATACAGTAACATTCAGATATTACGCAATATTTGCCTAATGTATCGTGTCTAAATTCAATTCCATGTTACTGTAGGAAGTTTTTCTGTGTCACGTTGTGTTAGGTGTATGCGTCCCGTTTCTGTTCACATCGCACGTTGTCATTTTAAACTCAGATTCTCGCTGGGATACGTCCACTAGTCGAATTTTGCTCAACAACATCACCCACATCTAGCTGTTACTTACTCGCTGCAACCGCGAGTTCACGACCCCGAGGTTGTCATGGTAACACACTCGATTGGGGTATCGTGTATATTACCCGTCTCCCGGCATAAACGATACAAGTCACGACTCGTCTGTATATATCTACACCGGTTGCAAGTAGTTGCGTTACACGGCTAAACATAGGTAATGCGATGCGATGACATTGCAATTGCCTATACCTGGTTAAGTCCCTTGTTATCAGAGCAATTCTATGAAAGACACAAACAAAAATGCCTATTTTCTGTCGAAAAATGTTAAAAGTCGTGTGTAACAATCATTTCATTTAGCTCAAGGTATTCGAGTGGGAAAGTAAATTTAAGCATTGACAGAAAGTTTTCGGCTCAGCATTGGCATTATTATATAGTGTTGCAATTTAATTTAGTTAAAACATTACTACGAACAACAACAACAACAACAACAACAACAACAACAACAACAGTACATAATGTATACCAAAAACAGCACAACAACATGTTCGTAAACAACGTTATTTTTCAACTCGCGTACGACATACGTCACAGATTTTCGGAAGGGGGTAAGGCCTCAGAACACTGACACACCGTCCAAACCAGGAGCGTAAATTCATGAAAGAAAATATAAATTGTAGATAGCGGGAAACAAACTTAAGTAAGAGTATAACGATAACTTTATTTCTTAAGTCGCGGAAATCCTACTTACTCGAAGGACAAGTGTGCCAGAGTCTCAACTCTAAGCGGTATATGTGATTTAGCGCTAATCGCATCGGCTCGAGTACCAAGCTGTATGAGCGCCCGATTGAAGGTAAGTATGTTCGGTGATGATTGGATGCGATCACATGCACGCTACAGAAACCCGGGTTGGGTGCAGCCTGTATTATTACACCAGTGCAAAACTGACTGAAAAACACGGGATATCGGTGTCAGTCAACTGTAAACAAAATACCACAAGTAGTTGCAAATCTTTGTGGGTATGTCTTACAGGATACACGCGTACAATTCATCTTTTTTTTTTTAATTTTCGTGGAGTCATTTGTTCGCTGTGACGCCCCAGTGACTCCAGCTTCACAGATATGGTAGGCATGTCCAAATCAAATCTTGCCCTGTTCCACTTTTGTGTATTTTGGTTAAATCCAATCTATTTATGCCACTTCGGAGCAAACTTAGCCGGAAGGTTGGGGGAATATTTAGTAAAGCCCCACCTGTTTCCTCATTATACTTGCTTGACTAGTAACTCTACCTGCGAGTAACAGCAACCTGTGGGCGTGCCCGCGTGTGTGTATAAATACGTCGTTCAGTAAAACTAACAAACAAGACCAATATTGGATCGAAACTTTGACAGTAAGAAAACTCACCAGGGCTGTTCCATTAATTGACAGCAGTCCCTTGGTAGCCCTAAACGCTTGGGTGGTCCAGACATGTTTGTTTTTCCCCCACGTAGATTTCTGCAGGATGGGAACAACACATGTAGTAGGGTTCTCCGTTTTTGTGGATGTTGGGTGCATTCCGATGATCCTTTTTTTTTAATTTCTTCCATGTTATTGAAAATGGATTATTATAATTCGTGAAAAAACATCTCTTCAGGGGACAAGCTGTTTTTTTTTTGGCATTTTTTAACATTTTTTGAATCTGTATAATACTGAATCAAAATGACATTTATAGTACCAATGAACACACGGAAAAATATAAAATATTCATGATATGCATATGCAAAAATCTAGACAAATAGTCACCAAAATATTCATTTTTTAAAACTATTTTCATGCTATATTAACATATCCCTGTCACGTGACAAATCAGTATTCGTTCACTCTTTTGATGCCATGGAGATAAATTCGGTTCCGTATTACGTGGATTAAACATATGGGGAGAAGGAATGACAAAACACGTCTGATTGTGCCTATACTGTGACCACAAGAATGAATGGAGTGGTATTATTGCAGTATGAAACATTGCTTTGCTAACAAAATACTAACATTACACAAAGTGTTGTCATGGGAAACAATGACTACAATGTGAGCAATACAGCAAAACAGTGTCTCGTACTGCAATTATTTTTTCTGTTGGCCACAGTAACACTGACTTTTAAACACTAAATAACTCAGAGTCGAGGCTTTTTGACATCGGAGCAAGGGAAACTATGGCGTCAATCAATCAAGAATTATGACGCCCTGACTATTTTTATGTCTGCCGAACAGAAATTGAAATAATTCATAAAATACTCGTTATTTAAATAACATGCCCTCGCATCTATATTCCAGATTGCACACTCTCGTCCTCTGAGATTTTGATTTAAGACAACCATTCGTGTCAAAAATAACTATGTACATATCACGCTGACTGTCTGAACTAGAGAAAAGTAGTTAGTAATCGGGGAGATCGTCCATGTTCTCCGACCTTGTTCGAAACTACTGATAATATTAAAAAAAAATACAACTTATAATCTTATAATTCCATGAATTTTATAAATTCACATTTGTAAGAACAAAATTAAATTGTGTATCCTGCTAGATAAAGGTACAGGCAGCAAATGGATCATGGATCAAACAACCAAACGAAACAGCGGGGGGTAAGCCATGATGAAGGAACAGCCATGATTGACATATATACTGTCTTTCATCACTTTAGTATGACAGGGACTGCCTGGTTATTGATAACCATTCTATGCCATAGTAGCCGGCACATTGCTACATTTAAACTTCGCCCCTTCCTCTTGTCAACATCATACGTGCCAAATCTCCCCATGACGTCATAGCCGTCATGTGACTCTGCACAAACTTCAATGTTAATTTCAATCCCGTCTGAATAGATGAAAAAAAAAATTGGATCCCAAATTTCCGGAGTTTCATTCCCAGATGACAAATATATAAGTCTGGGCTTTCATTTAATACCACCTAACTTAAAGGCGTCCATGGGATAAAGCAAAACGACACAGTGCGTTGTTTTCACATAACACTGCCCGAGTGGACGAGCTATTGTTAGTCGCGTTAATGATGGTTGCTACCCCAAGTGTCGACAACTAACAACTTCTGATGTTATCTCCTGTCAGTCTTGATACAGCGGCTAGCCAATCAGCGGCGAGCACCAAGTAAGCTAAGAACCCCCGACACTCAATTAGGGTAGCCAATTATACAATCATCTGTAAGAGAGAAGGCCCGGCTATTTGGGTGGCCGATGTTAAAACTGTAGAAAGTGGGCGGGTACTTGGAGCGATACAAATTTCCAACTGGTCCCGTTGGTATTAACAGACTAACGCGAGTACAGTGATACCGTAACCCATCCAGCGACGCGGCGTGATTTTTCCACCTGCAGTCTTTCTGAGCGTGTAAACGATCGCTACTTGAGAAACCAGTCAAGCCTGTGTTTGCCGGGTTTTCTCGCCAGGAAAAAAAGAATTTCAACCATGGAGGCTGCATTGACTGTTCTGCGTGGACCCGTTACTGAGAAGGGGGCGAGGAAACCAAAGTGTGCACGCTGTCGCAACCACGGCGTTATCTCGTGGTTGAAGGGACATAAACGGCATTGTCGTTTCCGAGAGTGCACATGTCCCAAGTGTAACTTGATTGCCGAACGTCAGAGAGTCATGGCGGCGCAAGTAGCTCTGAAACGACAGCAGGCCGCCGAGGACGCCATTGCCTTGGGACTAAGGGCATGTTCACCTGGTGGCCCGTTCCCGCTGATAACAGGGTCGATGTGGACTCCTGAAATAGGCGAAGGCAGAAGCGAAGACGACGAGTCAGACGATAACGAAAACGACGACAACAGTGGAGGTAGGAAAAGTTGTTAAAAGTTGTTTAATTTTCGATTTAAAGTTTCATATCGAAGGTTTTAACACCAATGTCTTCCACCAGTTTGCATTAATCTTATCCAAATAAAATGAACCCATATAATTGTAATTATTTAAAATCTATTTGCATTATACAACTATTTTAATTAATTAATGAAATATATTTTTGACTCGGAAAAATAAACAAATTATTTTCGACATGTAGCTATACAGTGACCATTAGATTATAATATTAGGAAACAACGATAAAAACAATCGATGTCGTGGCATCGCTAACATGTCATGTGCGTCGAACGATCAGACAAACACAATGAAATAAATTATAAACGTGGTGTTAATTCTGAGAATACATTTTTAACGGTTATGACAGCGTTCTAGATGTCAGTCCCGGCGTTATTTGAGCCGCGGACACTGGCACCGCCTTGCAGTGCACTAATAACCGGTTAGAGCGAGTCTGACGAGTGCGCTATAACTGTGATTAATTCCAATTATGACAAATATCTGACAGTTAAACAAGAGAAGAGCACAAAAGATACATTGAGAATTGAGATTGTCATTGAAATACCGCGGCGTAACGCAATGTCGGAAATAGTTGTCATGTGAGTTATGAGAAAGACCCATCAGTACCACCAGCGTGCAGTTTATCATGTCTCAGCAACCAACCACGCATTCGGTTTTAAAATACCCTGTTGCACATTAATAATTTAATAAAAATACATAAGAATATAGAATTCATTTCAAAATTTTAAATAAACAACCCTTTTTTTGAAAACTCAGCAGTCTTGATCGATACAAAAGAATTGCGGGGAAATTCGAATTATTTTTTGTGAGACAGGTTGCGTTTCCACAGCGTTGTCAGATTTCATGTGTGGATAACATCAACGATATATCGAAACAGACACCAAACATTTGTGAAATAACAACATGTAATCAACATCATCGGAAATGTGCCAAATACATTGCAACATATGTCGAGTGTGCGGATGGCAAGAACATCCCCCTCCTTCACCACACGTATTTCACATTTATCAAGTCAATACGTGGTGAACTGACCGGTGCCCTCGATGCAAGAATTCTACATGTTTAAAAAATCCTGCAATCATACCGACAAAGATATACATGCCTAACTGTATTGTGTTCCAATTTCATGGTTCAATAGAAATATTCCATACGATCATCATAAATTCCCCACAGGTGAACAATATAATACCGAAATATGAATTTGATTGTTCTAAACTAAGCACAAATATTGAAAGACGCCCTAATATGTGTCCAATTTGTTACGTCAACATTTTTTGGCAGTCTAGTGTTCGGTGCAGGCCACATTCTTACGAAACCATGCTATCAGTCCATGTTCTTTAGTCCGCGTAGGAACATTTCTCTACCAACCCTGTAGTAATATACCGTGAACCTAGCCGCCGATTTTACTATTTTAGGTTGTAGACATTTATTTTTAAACTTAATCGGCCCATATTGATCGCTATGATGGTGTACACAGTGTTACATATAATTTATAAGTGGGTGTTAATGTCACTGAGTTTAACAATTTAGTATTTATGCAACTCAATAAACCACTAGATGTAATGATTATTATTACAAATTATAGAAAACGACGATGGTGTTGTCTATGAGAAGCTGTGGCACTGTCCCCAACCAAATATAATTCAGTAGAGGTCTTTGTTTGGTATCATAATTATAGAATTTATTTTCGATAGTCGTTCAGTTCGGCGATCTATTTTCTGACTTCGTGAATACATGATGCACTCAGTTGTAACTCCATTAAATGACCATCGGAAAGTAACTTTTAGAACGCAGTGATACAATGACCATCGAAGGGTAACTTCTAGTGCGCAGTGATACACAGTGTAAAGTGTATACGAACAATGCAATAGAAAGTGTTATTGGAATGGGATCGTTTGTGATTGTCGAATTCAAGATGGCGGATTCTTACGACCATTCCAAATACATGAGAACGAACGAAACTCCGTTTTACAAGAGTGTTGCGGGTAGAGAAAACGAACGTTGAGGTTATGCACAATTCAAACTTTCAACCGTCATCATTGTATTTGTGCCGCATTTCACGATTTAAAAGAACTTAAAACTTCCGGAATGATATGTTCGTCGATCTAGTAAGCGTGTCTGAAATTAAGAGTAAATATAATTCATTTGACGGTGAAGGGCGAGTCTTGTAAGAAATAGTTATGACAGTATGCATTTTACTCAGTAAATATAACCTCGATTGTATACTTACACTTTAGGGAGATTTTGTGTTTAAAGAAAAAGATAATACTAGGGCAGAATGCAAGGCAACGAAAACTTAAGCGGCTACACGTACTTACAATGACAAGTTAAAAAAACAAAAACTTTACAGCATACAAAACCAATTGTGAACAACATAAAATAGCCTTACTCCTATGTTGAGCTCATGGAAGCACCGAAGGTCTATTGCACAGTAGTCACCGTATGTTTGGCCAGATTGTAACGATTTATCGCAGTCTAGTTCATGTAGTTGTAATTCATCTTGTTTGCCATTTTACCATTCTCAGACTATTTTCATTATCACAATTATTCATAAGTTCCGTTATTTAAAAAAAAAAACAACGTTTACAGAGGATACCGTGGCGAGTAATCGTGACGGTAGCGATTGTACTGCCTAAGTAAGGCTGGCACTGGTATCATCGGCTCATGCACAGTAGGGTAAACGAAAATAAAAGGGTCGAGACGACTAACAAAAACTTGATTAATATAACAACACATTTCAATATGCCTTGTACGTTGCGATGATGAGACCAAATCGGCCACGCCTTTGCTGTGTATGATTTTTCCATGTTGCTGTCAAGCCGAGCGGTTCGATTGCCGGGAATGCGGTTTTCTTATCTCCTTTTGTTTATTTTGACTGTCGTGTATTTCATGCTTGATAGGTTTTTTCTCCGTGCTGTTTCCCTATCTCTCGGGACGCCAGTCTTGCTTTAGTTTCTATATCGTGTGGTTTTAACCCAGCAAAATATCGCCGATACAAACACGTGCGTGTTCGCAAATCAATATTCACAGCAAGCTTAGTCAACTCGATCGGACGTCACGGTGCAAACTAAAGGCATACCCCGTACTGTAGTGATATTCGGGGGATATTTCAGAAATCATTTTGACCAATTCAGTGGTCACCACACAAAAGAGAATGCTGTGGTTTGGATTTCGATAACTCGATAAGCAGGAGCAACACAAACAAACACCACGACGATACTGTACATCGAACCAAGTGCTGAATTATGTCAGGGCCCAATCGGACTGAACTTGGCGGGTTACCATTCGTTTATAAGTTCAATATTCTTGCAAATTATAATAAATTCAACAGCGGAATTAAACCAATGCGATCCTTGTATTTTAAGTAATATTGACAATTTTAAGCAAGTGTTGTTGACGTTGAATACGATTTACAAAGAATAAAATATACATTCAGGAAAATACGACACATAGTGCAACATGGTGTTCAATATAACTTTTATTTTAACAAGTTTTCTTGCTTTCATTTTGTTTGCAGAAACGAATGATAAAAACAAAGACGTTGGCAAGGACGGCGACGAACGGGAATCTCCGAGCACAACGAGCACGCCGGAACTAAACACGGACTCCTCGTCACATAGACAAAACTACAGTAACTATAATAACCTTGCGACAGCGATTCCTCCTTTTCGCCCTGGTCGACTATCTCATATAGAGATCCTGGTTAGAATATTTCCCCTACAGAAGAAAACTGTTTTAGAATTGGTTTTACAGGGATGTAATGGGGATCTCGTAAAAGCCATCGAGCATTTTCTATCGGCAAATGACTCAGTTATGTACGCGTCGCATTTGTCGTCTTTGAAGACTTCGACAGCATCTGAAAACTCACCACCGAATCACACTTCGTTGGCAAATTACGTTTACAATAACACGTCTCTACGATCGCCGCCGTCGCAGACAATCAACGGGAAAGTACCCATGGGCGGCGTCAAATCAGCATTCACGCCGCTACCATCTCCACTGGGAAATCCGTCGCCGATGAGTTTCTCGTTTCCACCTCGATTTCATCCATATTCGACGGATATGCTTCTGGGCCGGTCGCCACTTTTTCCACGCTCCGCCGATCACAACCTCTTCAGTTCAACAGTGACTCCGTTTCCGCTGCCAACTTTGTTTCCGATGCCCCCTCCACCATTACCGCCACATTCGCTATCCAGTAAGCTTCCATCAAACAGCGCTTCTAGTATTCTCTTTAGTCACCACCATCCACCGGGCATTCTATCATCACAGTGCCATTCATCGAGAGTTGACATGATGGCGGCCAGCTCAGACGGCATTAGCGATAAATTGAAACTTTCTAGTCCGGGATCTTCACCATCATCACCGAATATAGTGTTAAGTGATAGGAAGTGACCCTTGAACCTGAACACCATTCCTTTAAAACGCGTTTTAATTTTGTTATTTATTGCAAGAGACTGTATTATCGGACAGTATGACCCTTTTGTTATTATCGCTGCAATTTGTTGGTCCACATGGCAAATATAATTAGGTTATTTCATATGGGATATTTGACTTTGACGAGAGTCGTTACATCACTTTTTAAGTCAATTAGTTGTTGAACTTGACAGAGACCAACCATTGGGTTCATCAACGTTTACAATAATAACCGTATCTATATATATATATAACATCTCCAGACTGGTTAAATTCCCACCTGCCACAAGACGTTTCATTGGATTGGCGACTTCAAAATGTATTCAACATCTGGTTGGAAATTTTATTATTTTGAAATTGTAAATGCCATGTCACTGCCCATCTCCACAATGCTGCACAACTAAGGGAAACATATATGATATCGTTCGTTTTCTAGACGTTTTTTTCGTGATGAACCGAGATGTACATTTAAACTTTTTTTTTTCTTGTCACATTTGGGATTTCCTCAGCTTGTAAATATTTTGTCACGTGACGTCGGAGGGGGAATCACGTGTCCCGTCATCTTTGTGCAGTGCGTACGGCAAACAAAACTGATGTGGTGCGACTATTTGATTTCTTGACAATGGAATATTGCACAATTAAAAGCTCGTCGCTTATTCTATTATATGTATCGAAATACGTATTGATTGCATGTACAGTTACATAAGTACATGTCAGTGTACCTAGCAGCGTTTTCGTTTTGTCTGGTCTGGGTATGCATTTCCTGAGCCGTGTGCGCAGCACGATGGATTTGTCAGATGTTCCCATACTTTGTAGCCCTGTTCCATTTGTTATGTATATATGAATAAGCAAAATCGATGCGATGAGCAGTGCGATGCGATGTTCCATTGCCTTATGTTAATTTTGCTAATTGAATGTGCGTTAATCCTGGGGAAAAATCAATTTTGTTTGCGTTGTCGGTAAACTCTGTCATATGTATCTGAGATGACGTTTACTGCTTTGTTGACAGATAAAATTTCCTACCGCTACAATTGATTTCTCTGTTGCAAATCGATATTAGAACTGAGCGCACACTCGTGCGATAATAACCCTGCTAAATACAGAATAATCACCTCGAAAAGTGACATTGTAATTGAATTGTACATTGTTTGTAGTACTTTGTTATAATGTGTTCATTTTTAATGACCGTTTTGTTGTTAATGTACATCGCATGTATATTTCATGTATGGGCTTGTATGTATCTGAGTTTCTTTTGTGTCGCGTTTTACAATAAAAGCGACTAGTATCTTTAAAGTGGTTTCAGCGCCCAGGCATATCGCTGCCCATTTACGGCTATTATCACCAGCCCGAGTGCTGTTTATTGAGCAAATCCTTCGCTTAGTGCAAACTTGTAAGTTTTCTTCACACGATCTTAACTCCATTCTCTACGCGCTGTAACATTTCATAGAATAAAAAAGTAACACTATTCTCGCTGTCAACGCATTATCGATACAACACAGGTGGTTTATTTCACGATCTCACTTCACCTAGCTCAACTTCCGTTCCGGCGATACCATGACCCCTGCGATTAAAGTCTTAAACATTGAGACGTAACAGTGACTTAAAAAGACAACGCCACACCAGAAAAGCTCGACAGACAGACACACGCGTATATATACTCACAGGCGGCTATTAAAACACATTAATATATTTCACTAGTTTCTGAAATGAACATGTGATACATTTCATGCGGTGTCCGATTTCATTAGCACAGTCTGCTCTGCTTCATTGGGGGTATTATACATAATAACAACATTTAATACAGATATGAAATATACACAGTGCAGTGTCTTATTTTAAACCTCGTGACATTAAATCCTGGATTCGAGGAGATCAAATTGTATAGAAATCGTACAACATTGTTTCCGAATCTCACTGATTTCATTACCTATAAAATGTGGAGTAATATGAAAATAATAATTATGTCTTCGTTAGATGTCGTTTTGAGGCCCCTAACGAAGGTCATATAAGAGTTAAACAGAAAGTATGTGCATTCATCCCTGTTGACGGCATGTCACAACCCTTATTACATTTGCCACAATTTATATCCCTACAAATCAGACAAAGTATTTCTCCTGTCGCGTGCTCAGTCTTTCAAGAAAACCGTCTATGACTTTTTGAGAAAGATGACAGGGAGCCACTCGAAGTGAAATTTGATTGCGATGGGTGGGCTTGATATGGATTTCAACCGATCAAAATACCAACTAATCTAAATTTAGTATACTACCAAATATATATTTGCATGCAGTTTGCTTCCTACATCGACAATGTGCGGAAAATTACAACGAGATTTGCGCTATATATTAAATCGATTTCGTTTTTAATTTTCCGCTCGGCAGATTTTTTTTTTCAAACGACAAATACATCATGATATAAATTCAAAGTCTATCGGGAAATTTGTCATCGCGTGTTGGCATATCGCATAATTTCACAGAAAGTCACAATTAACGTGATTGATCGATGGACTTCCAATATTTATAAAGCGTTACCATGGCAACTAAAACATATGAATTTCAATAAGATACACTTCGCCGACAGATTCGCCGAGGAGACAAGTTACATTATGCACTGTCGAAGATAACGTATTAGAACACCTGGGTAGTCTACACCAACGGATGGTACTGACTCCACGTACTACATGATCTACGCACATAGCGGGGTACATAGAGTTATTGTAAGACGTATGAGTCAGTCATCACACCTCGCACAGAAATAACATAAAATCTGGTCATATTATATTGAAATGTTAGAGCATATTTATGTCTCGATGAATGTTATATTAATACAATCATACCCTATACCCGCTACTGGGCTAGTACCGATCACTGTCATTCTTATATTTGAAGTATGTATTCTTCAAGTATTTCGACTTGCCTCAGTTGATTTAGTCGATAGTGATAACTTAACTTCTACGATTCCAATGAGCGATTCTGGCAAAACATGATCAGAACCTTAAGTTTAGATTAAAATGTTATACTTCTACAAATATTTCGCGATTCAGTTTTCTTTTCTTCCAGTGCAGTCACGGTATTTTTTTCAGCACCGTGAAATGTTTATTTATCGGAACAGGAAGTGAGAATTTTCTCAGTTATGTTGCTTAGTCTCAAGGTTTTAGTCTCCATCTGCTAGCCACCATGCTTGATAGAACACTGGGTTAATATTCACTATCTACTATCATATGGTTGTCTGCTCATTCAGGATAAAAATGCTGTACCTGTTGCGAACGTTTCAATCGCAAGAATATACAACACACTTTCACTGTACCTTGAAGTTGCTCTCATTTGCCAGAATCAGGTTCAATTTGTTCTTCTAGATTTTTCATTCAAGCATTTAATTGCTGTTTTAACGTGTAAATTTCAATTTAACGTGAAAAATAACAAGTCGTGAAAATAGATCCTTTACCAAATAAGCTGACTTTAGTCAAGGCGAGAATGTTTGTTGGGACTAGGGACCGAAGGCAGTAACTGCAGCGACGTCATCGCACATCGAGCCAGCGGGAGTACCGGAATTGATGCGACTAATTGCCCCGTATGTTGCAACTCGCAGAATGCAGGGGCCAAATAATAACACTCGGATCTGAAATCAATATAGCCGACTGGCAAAGGGAACAAACCAAACCAGCAGGGCATGATTTAATCCTGGGCCAATAGATCACCCGCGAACGAGGTAAAAATAAGAGTGAAACGTCGACCTCGGGGGAACGCGCTGAGTGTCGTGTCTGTTGCCAAATCTGTTTAACCCTATTTAGAACATATTGGTTAATTACAGTTATATCATTAGTGGTGCCGTCGTCACTCATTCACCCCTTGTAAGCACTGTAATATAGTATGCAATATACACATGTATAATGAAGCTTGCCCATTTTCATAGCTGATCAGTATTCAAAACAACCTATTATCTGAGCCGGTACACGCGTCGCCCAAGCATGACACAGACTCTGTGTGCAGCTGCGAGCCTGTGTGCACTACAGTTAAGAACGCATGAACTTTCACCAATTTTAATTGATAATAACCAACTATCAAATATATAGTGGGGGTTTGTTTCTCTCGCCGGAGACAACATTATTCTAAAATATTGCACAAATTTACCCCTCAGTAACCTCGTCGAATTTACGAACGTTTTCATTGAACTTGGTTATATTTCAAGTGCATCCTGTAGTCTGTGTAAAGCACATATGAAAAACATCTGACAATCGAAGCTTGTGGAAAAACCGAAATTGTTATTTTAAACCACCCTAGGGTGTCTTCGCCAATGCCACTCATCCCGGTATGCGATATTTTCATTCAGACCTATCAACTCCACGTGGTGTCGTCCGTTTTGTTAGTTTTTCTGACTTTTCGTTGCTTATTTAATTCTATCCAATTTGTTTTTATTCCCTCCTTCTCTGATGACTTCCCCTCCCCCTGGTTGTTTGTGTCGTGGCTGATCACGTTCACATCGGTTCACAACAGTATGTGTACATCCAACCGCAGCTGGCGGACTTTCCCATGGGCAGATGTGCAAAGACGAACACTATTTTCCCTTTCCCCATTAAACTTAAAATATGCTAGAAATACACAAAAGTACGACTGTAACCATGGCGACAATATAATATATATCGGGTGCTCAAAACTAAAAGAATATATGCGCCTATATTTTTTACAATCACTGTATCCTCCATTTTTAATTACATTTAACCCTGGTCTTGATACATTAAAACACACATGCACATTCAGAGTTAAACTTAGACATAATCGAATTTACAGCTTAGCTAAGTCCCCAAACAAATAGACCAATATGATTGACATTAATGCCAAACATCATATACCCATGATGCACCGCACTCCGGGGACACAGGGAGGGATGAGACAGGATTGTTTACTCCGCATTGCTGGAATTAATATCCTGAACATGTTTATTCAAGTGTTTTTTAAAGTTTAATATTCGGATTGCCAGTTTTGTTGCTGACAGACATTCCCTTGTTTAGTCTCATCGCAGGACCGCCCTTCCCAAGACCTGCTCATTGTTTAGTCTCACAAGACTGTTAGTAGTGCCTTCACCTCCATTCAATTTCCTTCATTGCCATTTTCACGTCGCTGCAATCCCTCTCCCTCCCAATACATATACGTACAGTCTGCCATTCGCGTGACGCTTGCCTGTCACATGTGTATAATTGGTAATTTGTCACATCCCGACTTCAGTACCGTTATATGCACAGTTTCAAAAATCGACGCCATCTTCCATATTCACTCAGCTTCCGGTAAACTTGCCGGACCCACTAATGCACGCAATGTCGACAATGAAAAGAAAGAATGATGCGAACCGAGGCCTTCTCAAACACAACAACAGCATTTGAAACCTGAGGAGGGCTAGTATTTCGACATTCTATGATAATCATACGAATATATTCGTATTTGTTTCGTCAAATCATGCACCAAATCCGGAGAATACTTTCTAGCTTTCTAGTATAAGAAAATGTAAACGTATATGGTTATATTACAGAATTGAAGAAATTGGAAAAAAATAAACTTTATGAGATGCTGTTTGCAGATTTTGGTGCGAACAGTCCTGAGAAATTTGAACAAGGTACGATAATGTACGATAAACTACTGTATTAACCAAAATGGACTAAAAAAATCCACCTGATGCACAGGACAAGGTCAGTGTCATCGTGTTTTGGTTCATACAAACTTAAGTACACGAGTACAGTGTATGTTGGGCTATACTATTGTTTGTACCTGTGTGCAGGGTGTGGGACATCGTCCACAGTCGCTGACCTGTGAGAAGGACACGCCTGGGAACTAGGCTTAAATCGGTGACCATCAGTCAAATAACGCGGCGCAACAGTATTCACTCTCTAAATGTTTGGTTTCGGCCACAAAAGATTTCACTTTTGATGCATCGATTTCTACAGCAACAAAAAGACGACACAATCTCTGTTTGGCATTTTATTGATTATTTATTGAGAAATAATATTTAAACTATCAACGCGAACGGTGTTGTTTACTCAAACGCCGTCAACACATGGATCGGCATCAGCAGACACCCCAGCCCAACTGCTAGTACGCCGACAGGTCTCAGTGACGTCACGGTCTCCGGCTATTGGGTGGCAGATCACCATATCGTCAGCATGTTCCGTATATTTCTTTTAGCCGGTCTGTATATTTGTACAAGCGAATGTTACAGAATCGGCGTTCTAACAGAGCCTTGTAATCCATACAGCGTGTGGTGAACCAAACAGTGGCATCAGCTGCGTAGACCATATCATTGCCTAC